CTTTTACCAATGGCTTTCTAACAAATGAGAACTGATCCGTTACTCCAATGTTCAGTAACATTTCATCGCTAAGTGAGTAAAGACACTAATAATCATTAAGAATAGCTGGCCTTTCTTTGTCGTTTCTGACTCTCGTGTAATGCTTTTCTAGTGAAACACAACGCTTGCATTCATCGTTTGTAATTGTCATTATTATACTGGTTCAAATCATCATTTATATGGTCATTTTACGTGGTTTGAAATTTAGTATTGTTTATTCACAATGTTAGTGTTGTTAAACCGTGATACAAAAGAGAACATAGTACAACTGAAGAAAGAAACATTGAGATCAATCCACATCTGAGTTGGATTTCTAATAACGAATCTCTTGCACAATCACACTCTTGGTGATTAACACTCCTACTAAATTGGCACTATTATTCATAACCGAGTCATTAACACGGAGGACTCAACCATGTTCCGTACTTAGGTTAAGACAATAAAATCTGTACCCTTTGATTTTTTTAGATAGTCTAGTGAGAAATGCCACTAATCGTTCTATGCATCAAGCTTACTTTTCATTGGGATTTATATATCCTTAATTCATGCTGGGCACCCCAAACATGAAGATCGCTTTAATAAAATCTGTAACCGAATTTTGATTCTTCGTTTAGAAATATCCATGAAAAGATACACTAACCGGTATCTAGCATCTAAGCTTCTTTTCAATGTATAGATTATATAAGTCTAGATACTTCTGTTGGGCAGATCCCCAAACATGAAGATGCTTTAAACTAACTGGTTGTGTCGCTTTTCTCTCCACAGTTCATGAAGGGATCTTAGGAAACTGCCATACTAAGAATCCTTTATTAAATACGTCCAGCAGTCTTTAAAGCATATCATCCCTAATGATAAATGTACAGATAACATTCTTGAACATAGTCAGTATAAGGAGTACGAGTTTCGACTCTCACTACACCATGATCTGGTAAGCGGATGTACCAGCCGTGCATTGGTGTATTAGCCAGAGAACATTTCAATGGAACTTGCCAAAATGGGAGCTTGGACAATTGTCATTTTCATTAAATTTTAACATAAAATATTCACTCACCTCTATCAGGATCTCACAACTTTAATTTAATTCTATTTAACTGCCTATATTTACGTCAATTAAGGTGAATATCTTCAAGGATATCCACTGATTAGACTTTTCATGCGAGAATGTAAAACAGTAACCATACTTGTAAGAAATACATCATGAAAGGTGATAATAGATATTTTTTCTCCATCCTACCAAAGCGGAAAACAGTAAAAAGGACCGGTACATTATAGTATAGTGTGTCATTTAAGGGATTCGAGCAATTCCAGTAATTCTATGGCAGTGGCTGGAATTCTTTAATGTGTGTTTAGTTTGCTAAGTTATATGCGATCTATACACCGTCCCATGCTGTTAAGATAAAAATCAAATTGAGGTAAGGATTTGCACCTTGTTATCTAACGCTCAAAATCATTTCCTTTGATATGTGGACCTAGGCTTTTGATGGCCAAAGAGCAGAAAAAATTCTACATTATGTGCACTTAATTTTAATACTGTATTATGGTCATCACACAATAATAAGATCGAACAAAATGTCAACCACAAGATTAAAACGAGTTATCAACCTATCATCAAAGGTACCCAGGAAATCATGAAAGTCTTATGTATCTGTAATAATGACAAAACACATTACCAAATCTTGAAATCTAAACCAATAGTTGTCCAACCGTCCCTCAAGAAAACTAAATTTCTAAGTCAACATTGCGATGAACAGTAGAGACAAACATAGAGACACTTTTCAAGATCCAGATAACAACCAGTGTCGAGGATCAATCTATAAGTCTCAATTCCCTCTATTCGTGCCTTCATTTTGTTTCCCATATACATGAACTTTTCAGTTTCGTTTATGGGTTGGATCGAAAGGAATCCCTATATAACATGAGACACATGAGTAGTTGCAACAGAATCTAACCACTAAGTATTATTAGGCATTCAATAAGATTTGATTAAAAACATACTGAAACATAAAGCATACCTTTCTTTTCGAACCAAATCTTCCTTTTAGGATAATTCTTCTTGAAGTGACCATTCTTCCTACAGAAGTAGCACTTCAACTCTTCACGAATTTAGCCCTCATTGACCTTCATTGGGGTTTTGTCCCTTTTCTTGCCTTTCTTCCTTGATTTGTTGTTGTTACTACTAGCTCCATTATAAAATGTGAGATTGACAGAGCGTTCCTTCAATTTCTTTAATCTCCCTTCCTTTTGTATCAACATGGCCTTGATTTCCTGAATGTTCCACTTTTCCTTGAGGGTGTTGTAATTCACCTAGAACTGACCCAACTCAAGAGGAAGTGAGTTAATAATAAATTGAACTAAAAAGGATTCATTCACATCCATTCCCATCGACTTCAATTTGGCTGCCAAATTCTACATGCCATCGCCTTCAATTGGCTGACAACAGTTCCTACATGCCAGTCACATGTCATGAATTGGAATTTGTGACAATTCAAATCTGTCGTTGGTCGTTAGCTTCACATCATAAGGGATCGCTACAAAGGACTTGTCAACTATGTCCGATTGACGATATTCATTAATTTCAAGCATGTATCTCTAGCATATGACTATTCTAGGCGATTTAATTGCGTTTTAACATTTACAGCATTTGATCAATTCCTCTATTAAGTTCAAGCTCAGCCTAATTAGTACACTCCCAGCCTCATATTGAGACTTGTCAAGTAGTATCTAGTCTCTATAATCGGCTGCTGGCTTTTCAAGAGACTAAATGTAGAGATTGTCCAGAGTCCATAACCTCTAATTGATAATGATTCTGTTCGATAACCAGCATAAGTTCAGTCCATTGAACTTAATCAGCTCATGTGTCCATAGCGAACATTTTTTAGAAGAATAACTGAACATTATACATGGTACTCGATACGGTTAATCCTTAGGAGAAAACCATAAACATGGTAATTCAAACAAATAACAAACTTAAAATTATGCATTTTAATCACCTTTGGGTCAATAACTTAAATCACAGTTTAACACCCAATAATGATAACAAGATAAGAAAAGGATTTTAATAGCTTTCATTGATGTGACAAACTTGCGTATCTTTATGCATAGTCAGAGTAGTGACAGCGCTCGTCGGCTTCACTACAGCATGACGACGCTGTGCTTCCCTACCAGATCGCCTGTGTTCCTCTAAAACTAAAGGGCACAGCTCGTGGCTAACACATTCTCAGCACCCCGTTGCTGTCTTTGGAGCGCAGGACATGCCACGTTGATCAATTAACAGTCATGAGCGTGTTGCTGCTGCCCATTGGAGTCCATAGCAGAGCTCTTCTGGAGCTCAGGACATGCCCGTGCTCATTACAGCATGACCTGTGCTGCTCCCTGGAGTCCATAGCACGCCCGTGCTCATTACAGCACGCCCGTGCTCATTACAGCACGCCCCGTGCTGCTCTTTAGGAGTCCATAGCACGCTTGTGCTTATTGTAGCACGCCCATGCTCCTTACTGGAAACCAGTTCCGTTTTTACTCCTTAATTATTGAACAATGCTCCATACAATATGCATGTTTTCTTTGGATATACATTCATATTTACCAAGTACAATGATAAGTGTCTTTAATGCCATTGATTATAAGTAATGCTATGCCTTTGGGCAACCTCACAACGTTATAATCAATGATCTCAATTGTTCAATTTTATCTTTCATGTCATTTAACGGCATCACAAAAACATGAACAATCGAAATTAATTTCCATTAATTAAGCCAAATAAAAGACTATCAAACAAATCTAGAATAGGAATAGGTTCTGATACCACATGTTAAAATAAATTTTAATATAGCCTAGATCTTATTGTTCATAAAATTTGTTTAATAAGAATACACAACAAGCAAAAGCATACCTTGATCCATAGCTATTGATTACATTGTTGCGGCAATTCGATTCTCACCATAACAGTAGATCTATGTTTCTTCACTCTGGCCTTTTGTCCATAAGTTCTCTCTTAATGGTCAAAGAATTATCAACAGGTTAAAGAATTAATCAACAAAGAGAGTTTTCTTTCATGTTTTGCTCAAACAAACTAATACTGTCAATGTTTTGAAGGTATACCTCCATTTCTTCTTTTTTTTACGCCATTGATTTTCTTGATCTACTTTTATAAGGTCAGCAGGAATGGTATAAAACTCTACTTGTGCCTCATTCCATTAAGGCCGCAAATTAACCAACATCTTGGACCACATTGAATTTAGAACCAAGCCCTTTAATTAATATGGCACTATATTCTGTAAATAATCTCTAAGCATGGTCATATAGATTTAGAACTAAATATACTAACGAAAAACGTGATTGAAGGTTAGAAGTTTTGTTTCTCAATTTATTTTGTATGATCTTGTATGATAGTTGTGAATATGGCAAGTTGATTTCCTTGATCTATTTTATAAGGCAGAGGAATGGTATAAAAACTCTAACTGGTCCTCATTCCATTAAGCCCAATAACCATCATCTTGGACCACATTAATTAGAACCAACCCTTTAATTATATGGCCACATAGATTATTAAAATAATCTAACATTGTCATATAATAATAAACTAATATCTACGAAAAAGACGTGATTAGGGTAAAGAAGTTTGTTTTCACTTTATTGAGACACGTGTGTATGATAGTGTGAATATGCCAAGAACAATAGACTAAACTGTAGATAGTCAAGTTTCTTTTATAAATTGACTGGAAGTCAAACCACATACAGTGGTTATTATATGGTCACAAGACTTTGACGCTAACACTTTAAAGGAAAGCCTCTTTGTTCATACCATTTTACTAAGCACTATTATTATTCAATTGCATCAAATTAAGTAACCCATTTTCCATTGCTATCTTCTTCTGGGCCCTCACTCGTTGAATACATCTAAACAAATCCATATTCGATGGTTGAGAATAGCCATTGCTGATTTTAGTTATTTTATAAATGTTGTGGAATAAATGGAAGCGTGCATGAAATTGTTTATATTATGAAACTACAAGGGAAAACTTAAGCAGATCAGGTTTACAAATAGGTATACACCCGGCTGTTTAGAAATGGTCAGAACTGCTTCAGTTGATAAAAATGGATTGAAGAAAGGCGCGTGGAGTCGAGAAGAAGATGATAAGTTGAGAGCTTATATTATGAAACGTGGCCACTGTAACTGGCGTGAACTACCCAAATTTGCTGGTAATGGAACTTGCCTTTGTCTCTTAGTAAGAATTTTTTGTCTATATATACACACACATACACCGTCTACATCCATAGGAACTCTGAGATCACCACAAGGATGCGTTCAGCATCCAGAAGTCGCAGACTAGAACCTTGCTTTTTTCAGTGTGGTTGAGTTTTAAACCCTAGCCAAAGACAAGGGGGAAAACGAGACAAAGGAAATTTTTGACAGAATTAATATAACCACCTAGCTATAGGTTCTCATCTTTAGTTTGTGTCTAAACTATTTGTACGTTACAGCATTAATTATTGAAAATTCTAGCTGAATAAATTATCTAGGGTTTCCACCTCATTTCATTGTTCCAGTGCCTTGGCTTAGATTAGATGAAGTAAATAAAATAGGGTGCAAATACTTCATGTTAAAACTTTTTAAATTAATTTTGCTGTCTTTGGCAGGTCTATCGAGATGTGGCAAGAGTTGTAGATTACGGTGGGTAAACTATCTGCGGCCGGGTGTAAAACATGGAAACTTCTCCGAAGAAGAGGAGAATTTGATCATTCAACTGCATCAAGAACTTGGAAATAAGTATGAAGGAAATGTTATGAAGATTTCCACATAATTAGTCACTTCTTTAATTCATATATAACTTTTAATTGACAGGTTGCATTTTCCATGGAATTTATAATCTAACTGCTTACTTATATAAGAAATATTGACTAGAAAATATGAATCTTGCATATTAGTTATTAATACCACTAATTGCCACGAAATTCCATGCTCTTACTTTTTTTTATTGGCTTATTGAGTCCTATAACGTTTTGATCTTGCAACGTGACCGTCCTGAAAAGAATCCAATATTTCTGAGTGAAAGATTATTGGTAAAATAACACCCATTTCCTATGTGTGCAGATGGTCAAGAATTGCAATGAAATTGCCAGGAAGAACAGATAACGAAATTAAAAACCACTGGCACACTCGCTTAAAGAAGCTTTTACTCGAGCAAACCCAGGTAGCAACTGAACAGGTGAAAGAGCAATCTAGTGAAATCCCACCAAGCCAAAACATTGAAGCTGAAAGCGTTGATATTGCCGTTACTCCATCTCTTCCAATAATATTGGAGAGCTCTCCTTTGTCCAATGAAATTTCTGATTATTCTTCTGTGCAAACTAGCTCGAATTGTGTTGCAGAAGATGCACATAGTTTCACGTCAATGATGGGAATATTTGAAGAAACAGGTGAAGATTTCTGGACTGCGCCGTTTGTAGAAGACCACATCTACAATCAAGATTTCTATGCTTCATCTTACTCTTTATACTATGATGACAATATGGATTTCATTCACCAAGTGATGCAAGAACTGCCGGATAATAATTAGTTATTTTAGGTTGTATGTCATGGTTGTAAATATGGATATTACGTAGAAATAAACGAGTGATTGTGTGTACGTGTAATATATAGATATGTGGCTCTAAATCAAAAGCCGGCAACTCTTACTCGATGTACTGATTATGCAAGCGATATTTTATACATGCAATGGAAAGAAACTGTTTCCCACATGCTATTAACCCATGCATGTTGGCTTTGCTAATGCAATTTTAGGGGATCAACTCTCTTCTAGGGATGGCAAAATCAAACCGGACCCGATAGGTATGCACCCAACTCCAACCTAGTTAAACCCGAATTTTAGGTTTTGACTGAGTTTGGACAGGGCATGGGTAAAATCCAAAAGTTTTATTTCGGGTATGGGTGGGATATAGATTTTGCTATTCTAAACTCGAACTTGTACCTATACCCAAAATTTAAATCTCAGAGATTTAAACGTTTATTATTTTTTAAAATTATAATATGAAATTTTTAATAAATTGGGTTACTTGTAATAAATTATCTATGTAAATTATAATTTTACTTTTCATTTAATGTAGTGTAGTACAAAATAATTTCACTCTAGTTTGCATACATTATTTGAATTGGTCAAATTTTTAAAATTTAGATTTTAAAATTTAAAATTTAATTTCTAATATTTAATTTAAACTTTAATTTCAAATAATGGAGAAAAATCATAATGAAAATAGTGATTTGGAGTGTTCATATAATAATATTTTACGTTTAATAATTTTATTATATGAGCTTTTTAGTTATTCTATTAATTAGTTTTTGTTATAATTATACTTGGAGAGTCTGTTATTATTATATTTGAATGAAGTATTATGATAAGAAAAACAACTTTAGAGATAAAATTTTAGTTTACAATTATTCGAACATTTATTTATATGTTAATTTATTTTCACATTTATTATGTATTAAATAATTCATTTGGACAAATACTTTAATTTTTTTAATTCAATATAATTTAATTTTTAAAAATACAAGTCTATAGATAAATGAGTATCCATGGATAATGAATATCCATGTGTACCCATAGATAATGGATACTCATGGGTATATCCAAACCCATTTGGTTTGGGGATGGGTATAAAATTCCCTACCCAATAGGGTATTGAATAAGGTATGGGTATTGAGAATGGAATTGGGTTTAGGTAAGGGTATTACTCTATCGGACCCAAACCCTACTTATTGTCGTCCCTAATCACCTCCAACCAGTCTATGGGTTTAACCATAGACTAATAATTTTTTACCATGCGTATTGTTTACCATTCACTTGAAAAAGAATGAAGGGGAAACAATTTTTGAAAAATCTCTATTTTCATTGTTTTGGTCTATGGGTGAGACTGTAGAATGGATCTAGATAGGTCTAATCTCAATGATATTCTTCAACTTGAAAATTTAAATATTCATTTTTCAAAATTTTGGTGTAAATCACTCAGCTTATTATCTACTAAAAATAAACATATTCAAACTCGTTCAAGCCTAATAAATTAAGTTGTAGAATAATGTATAGGAAAATATTTTTCATAATTTTCCATTGTTTGAGCATTCAAGAAAATAAGTCAACGGAATAAAGACATTAAGGGGACAATCGCGGTCGGTGGCTAAGATTGCTTTTCTCTAGAAATAATATGTACTTTCCTTTTGATCTTTCCTTAAAAACTGGCCTTGGAATTTTCCTTTCACGTGTTCTTGCTTTAAGAAGGCCCCCAAGTCGTAGTTCAAACAATACAGCGGTCACGTGTTTTTCTTTGCTAAATTTACCAACATAAAGAAATACTCCTTCCTTAGCTAAATACTTGTGGCATTTGGATATTCCACATTCCTTAATAAAATTGTTAAATTTATTTAAATTATGATAAATTATTCAGTAAATTAATTATACATTGGTCATATAAAAAGAATAACAATGAAAAAAATAATTTATTATTTGTTAAATTCACAAATGTGATAAGTATTTGGAGTATAATACTTTCTGAAATATGATAAGTATTTGAAAATGGAGAGAGTAATATATTTGAATTAAACTTCCCTAGACCTGATCTATAGGACCACTCATGAACCAAATTAATGAAATTAGAGTTTTTTTAATATTATTCTTATTTTATCTCTTTTTTCTTATAGTAAAATATAACCTCATTTTAATAAAAATTTAATTTTCATTGATTTGATCGGTATGAGTATAGATCCAGTCTAGAATTAATTATGGATTAATTTTTAAAAAGTTTTAATGTAGCAACAACTCGCTTAGAGCTCTTTTTACTAAAAAAATTTTAAAAAGATTATTTTTATGCGTTATATAAAATTAACTCTTCTGATCTAACAAATAAATATATGGAGATGAAAATATTTATTTTTTATGCTATAATTAAAATAAAATTTTAATTAGAAATCATGTTATGCAGTTAGTAAGGATGTGAACATCCCTTGTGTTATTAATCAACATTTAACTTCATTCAAAAACACTGCAAGAATGAAATTTATTAGAAATGGTTGATATGAGTTTGAGAGATGTGATCCTGTTGAACTGATAAAAGAAATCCAAACTAAGAAATTAAATTAATTATATAAGCTTTTGAAAAAGGAAATTTAGTACGATACTTTTTCAAAATTAAAATTATCATTTATTTATCGGGTAACTGATGGTAGTTGAATAGGGCCACCACTAATATAAATTCAATCTGTGGTCATCAATTGTAGTCAAAGTCGTAATGGACATGTGAAAGTGTTGATGTAAAGTGGTGTTCGATGTAAGATGAAGGTTCATGCAGTTTTGGGCCTTCCTCAATGTGAGACATGGCCTTCTAAGGCCAAAAAAAAAAAAAAAAATTAATTTTCAAAATAAAAAAAAATAAAAAGTTTTAAAAATAAAGATAATGTCATTTTTGCTAAAAAAACAAATCAATAATTCTCCATCTAAGCCTAATGAATCCATGTCACATCCCAACACACAAGGCTTCAACCAAGCAACAAAACGAAGAGATAAAAAAAAAAAAAAAAAAAAAAAGATTACTGTCATTTTATGCTGAAAAAAACAAATCAATAATTCTCCATCTAAGCTAATGAAATCCATGTAACACTCCAACACACATAGGCTTCACAAGAAGCAAACGAAGGAGAAAAAAAAAAAAAAAAAAAAATCCAAGTAACAAAATAAAAATAAATAAATAAAAACAAAAACAAACAAAAAAAACTAACAAACAAACCAACAAGAAAGAGATATTTAGGTATTGTTTGGTTTTGCTTAAGTTTTTTGTTTTCATTTTTTTCCTTAAAAATAAATAAAATTTATTTATTTAAATTTGTTTACTTTTTTTTCTTCACTTCTTAGAAAACTGTTTTTAAAACAAAAAACTAAATTTTATGAAATAATAAATAGTCATTTATGTAATTTTGTTCTTTGTTTTTAATCTTACTTTTTTCTTTTTTCATTTGTTATAAGATTTATCCTGATAAAGTAGTTAAGTTAGTTATTAATAATAATAATAATGAATAGCATATATAAATAATAATATTATTATTATTTATTATTATTCATTATTTTATTATTTTGCTCCTATCTTCTCTATCTATATACATCTAATGTGATTTATTTATCTATAATATACAAGTGTTAGTTTTTTTTTTTTTTGAAAGGATATAAATGTTAGTTTTATTTCGATTAAAATTCCCTTATCTCTTCTCCATTTATATAAATTTAGTGTTATTATTTATTTGGATATTATATTTTTATTCAATTGATGGTATATATAATAATCTATAGTTAATATAATTTAAATTAAAAAATTAAAGTGCAAAATATTTTTAATTATTTTGTTTTAAACTTTAGATATTTTAGAATTTTATTATTAACTAAAATCTTTAATAGCTTAATAAAGAGACAGATTTAATAATTTGAAGAACTTTTCATATCATGAACCAAAAGAAAAGAAAAAATAATTTAAGAAAAAGAAATAGTTTTAAAAAAATAAGTAACCAAATTCTAAAATTTGCTTTATGTTTTTAATAAATAAAAAGCTAAAAACAAACAATCATAACAAAGGAGGCCTAACAAAATGAGATATGAAGTAACAAATTGAAAAACAACAAACAAAAAAATTATGGCCCGTTTATTATAGTTGTTTATTTTTAGTTTTTTATTTATTAGAAACATGAAGTAGTTTTTAGTTTTTGATTACCATTTTTTTGAAAGCTATTTTTTTAAAATTTATTTATTTATTCATGTTGTAAAAAATTCTTTTAATTATCAAATCTCTCCCTTATTAAGCCATTAAACATTTTATTTAATAATAGAAATTATAAAAATCCAAAATTTCAGAAAAAATAATTAAAAATATTTTACAATTTAATTTTAAAATTTCAAAGTTACAGTAACTATTAATTATTATGTTGAATATAACATATTAATTATATGATGTGAATAAAATGTAATATCAAATAATTATAATAAATTAAATTAATACTAAATGTACATTAGATTTAATAGGATAGAGAAAAATAATATAATAATAAAAATGATACTAGAATAGAGAAGAGATAAAAGAAAAAGCTGAGACATTTGAACTAAAGATATTAAATATATATGACATTGTATATTTTTGGATATAATAAATGACAATTTGATGAATAAATAAATAATAATTAGCGTTTATATAATAATATATTAATTAATAAATAATAATAATAATAATAATAATTTTACGAGGATAAATTTTATAAAAAATGAAAAAAAAGAGATATGTAGAATTAAAAACAGAAAACACAATTCAGAAAACTACTATTTATGGTTTCATAAAATTTATTTTTTGTTTTAAAAATATTTTTCTCAAAAATAAAGAAAAAAAATTAAACAAATTTAAACAAACAAGTTTTGTATTTTTTAAAGAAAAAAAAGAAAAATAAGAAACTTAATGGAAAACAAACAACACCTAAACAAACAAAAACACTAAGCATATGTTTCCATAATCGAAGAATAAATAGCCAAAATTTTTTCAATTCAAAACTAAATGCGATATATATATATATAAAAGAGGCTTAAATGCTTACGTGGCAATATATTAAAATATTTAGCTGATGACGTGACATTTTATTTTTTTATTATAATTAATATTTTTTGCATCTAATAAAAATTTATTTTTTATGCCAATAAAGGAGTTACAAG